ACACACACACACACACACACACACACACACACACACACACACACACGCACACACACACACGCACACATATAGGTGCACACAGAGTTTAATCCCAAGGTTTACCGACCATCACATGACCTGCAGATGGACTGGTCAAAAGGGGTGTCCATCTGGAACCCCAAAGACCACCAGCTTAATGTGCACACACACACACACACAAACACACACACACACACACACACACAAACACACTTACGTTAAAGACCGTTGAACAAAACAGAACTTCATTATACATCAGAATCAAACTACTTTGTCATCCCAAAAGTGTTAATACAAAGTACAAAACCATGATGTTTTTTTAACAAACAGCTCGTGAACACGCACACACTCACTCCCACCTGCCGTACGGTTTATCTAACGGATCTGCTAATCTGAGAACAAAAGCCAGCGCCCGAGGGGGAAATGTGTCCATGGACTGTTGATGTCCTGAGACAACAGCCTAGCCACCATTCACACACAGTGTTAACTGTTTTTAATCTTCAGATTGAATTATCCCATATTCTCATAGATTATTCATCTCAATATGGCGTAAATCTATCACCCTATGACTTCAGGCTCATGGAATTGTGGGAAGACAGGAGTGTGTTGACGTGTTGCAGGCGACTGAGATTCACACTCATAAAACCAGAGAAATGTGAATGCTGAGCGCTAAATGACGCTGGAATTTGCTTTTTAAATAGCTGAACTGAGTTGTTAACACAAGTGCAAGAGAAGCTAAACAAACTTAAAGCTAAGCAGCTGAACAGAGGCTATAAACTGCAAAATGGTTGTTAAAATTAGACAAACGGAAAGCTAAAGGTAGCATAAGAAGACAAAAATAGAGCAAGTATGATGAAACAGGTTTCAACAAGAACAAAGTTGTTTAAGAAATTAAAGGGATCCTATTGGATTTCTATGGGGAATTGTATTTTGCATAAAGTAAAATAAAATGTAAAAATTACAACAGTCAAAAGCCACAGCGCACTGGTCTCAACTGAGCCGAGCATTTTTATGTATGACTGGTTAAAACTGGAAGGCATAAGTAGTTTGTTTGCAAAAAACGCAGAGAAGAAATTAAACAGAAACGTGATATTGTGGATTCTGACTCAGCATTCAAGCAGTAACTATTACTATATGTTTAAGAATGAGAGTCCTCAACAAAATAAGAGTCAACAAAGTTTTTAGGAAGAGCAGTGACATATATTTGATTCTTCATTATAAAGAGTGTTTCTCACTTTGATTAAACTTGCTGCTGCTCCGTACTGACGGCCCTCACGGTTGTCCTCCAGATCCCCTGGAGGTTCTGAACGCAATGAGACGCTACATCCATCACTTCTTCGGCTGCAGAGCATGTGCAGAGCACTTTGAGAACATGGCGAACGAGGATCTGGAGCTGGTGTACACTCTGCAGTCGGCAGTCCTGTGGTTGTGGTCCAGACACAACCGAGTCAACAACAGAATCGCAGGTAAGAGTCAGCAAAACCATCTGCTGCTGTTTTTAGATCAGTCGTCTTCAGATCAATCCATTTCCATAATGTTCTGACTAAAGCACAGTGAACATTTACAGTATTTATGTTTTACTAAATGCTGCAGCACTTCTAGTGGTTAACCTCTTTATCTGTTTACATCAGTGGTTCCAACTTTGGGACCTTTAAACTTTATGTTTTCGGGCCATGTGTTGATTATTAAGTAAAAATGGCTGCAGCTTTTACCATTTATAGAAGAGTTGAAAGTGATGTTGATCAGATCCTGAAAAGATTATTTTGAAGAATGTTTCTCAAACTATACACCTATTGTTACATCTTGTCCATTTTGTGACACATTAAATAAACTGTAGATAATTAGAGGTGTTTAAGTTAAAAGTTTGTATTTTGGTCTCTGTTGTATGAAAGTGAATATAGTGTGAAATATGTAAAACGAAAATGTTCTGCCAAATCCACACCATATAAAATGTATGTATTGATCATCTGATTTTTAGGAAGGACTATTGTCTTAATAAACATTAATTTGTAACAGAATTAAATAAAAACGCTAAAATGGTAAACCCACAGAAGCCAGTCATATAAGTTTTGATTTTTAATCCTTAACATTTTAAGATTTAGGCTATTCTAACACGTTAAAAAAAATTGTACCCTTAATGGCGAGGACATTATAAAGGGCGTTTTTCTTTTCATAACATAAGTTCTGTGTTATCCTTAAGGAAAAAGTAATGAACATTTTACATCACGATACACCTGAGTTTATCAATGCCGCCCATCTTTTCCACTTTTTTGAATGTTTTTCTCTACACATCACCTCTGTTCTTCCATCCACATCACATTTTACCTTCCTCAGTTTGGGGTTTGAACAAAGAGTGAGGAAAAAGATGGCTCCTCTGTTCCAACTTCCATCTTTTTCCTCACCCATTTTCTCTTGACCTCCCCTCTGCCTTCATCCATCCTTCCAACCTGGCTCTCACTATGCACTGAAAAGTTTCCTCAGACATTTTTCTTATTCATCTGTGCATCTTTGTGCTTGTGGCTCTCTATTCAGGGACTTTTGGTTGATCGTACACTGACATAATCTCAGAACCTAAGTTTGCATTTAAATAATAATCTTTTATGTGAATGTTTTCATATTCTTTGAGCATGCCAAACTTTGTCCCATTAGATGTCAGAGATAAACTGCTCCTGGGTGTCCCTCCTCCTCTGACTGTGTTCACATGATTTATTAAGCGCAGTGTTGTCATTAACAGCTCACTTTGTTAAATCACTGTCTTTTGTGTGCGTTTTGTTGACCACCCCCCTCTCTGATCTCTGGGACAGCTTGTGTCCTGAACAGCAGGGCCCAGAAGGACAAGCATCTCTGCGTGTGTCTGCTCCCTAGACACTTAAACAACGTCCAGCCTCCCCCTCTCGATCCATCCGTCTTCCCTCTTCTCCATCTTTTCTATCTTTCCTCTCACTATCCCGTGGGACTCATACCCTCCGCCTGTGAAGCAATAGTACAGAATAGCTCCCCCAGGAGCCAGCCCTTCTTGACTACACACATACAATTCCCATGGTATTGTGTGACAGCAGGTGGCAAACACCCTGACACAAGCCACACACGCTCATTTAACCCCCCACCCCCCCTCAGAGCAACACATGCACATCCTCTCTGCCTTTTTATCATGGATAAACTGTGGCGTGTGGCAAAGGGGAGTCCAGCTTGGGTGAATCAAGGGGTTTGGCTGTATTTGTTGCCATGAGTGGCGGCGTCTTCCCTGAGGAAAGCGCACGCCATCCATTTATCCCCTCCTCTCCCGTTTGCCTAAAGTGGGGCTCTTTAGCAGGTCTCCCCGCCCCTCCCTTTCAGAAGCAGCCATGCATGAAACATCAGCTATTTGTAAAGCAGTCGGACAATTAATTTAGCTAGCAACAAAGAGGCCCCAGGGCCCTCAGTCTGCTCACTCTGGCTGAATTAAGACTGGTGGCAGCTCGGTCCTGTTGCTGCTTGTCAACAGCTGAGATGGAGTCACATTTCTGCAGACAAACTAGCTCTGCTGCAGCCGGCCAAGCTGCCATCACAGATAACTGAGTCATACAGCATTTGACTCGGCCTGGTTTCCATTCAGAATGCACCTGCTTCACTTTTACACTTCAAATAAAAATAAGTATTTCCACCACCAAAACAAATATGAAGGGGGAAGAGTCCAAAATGCACATTGTGTTATAAAAGCATTGTTTTTACATACAACAAAAATGACTGGGAATACTCCAAACGTTCCTGCTGTGAAAGGATTACCAGTCTGTTCACACACTGACTCACTGAGTTGTTTGCACACTTCCTACAAGTAAACCACATATGAAAACTCTGCAGTAATTCCACAGTAATCATAACTGACATTAATGTTCTGGGTGTACAAATATCTTATTTTTTCATTATCTAAACCAAACTATGCATATTAAATGTAGTACCATGCCCACACTAATCAATGAGTGACAGAATGAATAATTGGACCTGGTTTTAAAAAATACAGTGAAAAATGTTGTGCTTTGAGCTTCAAACTTGCTGTTTTTTGCATGAATGTGAACATCTAAACAAAGTTAAGTCTAGTCCTCTGGATGGGTTCAAAAAACAAAATTGTAGAAACGTTTCGTCTTTCATCCAAAAAACTTCTTCAGTCTGAGGAGTTGTATTCAGCTCAGTCTTATAAATAGCTAAGAAGAAGTCTTTTGGATGAAAGACGAAACATTTCTACAATGTTTTTTGAATCCATCCAGAGGACTAGACTTCTTTTTTTTTTTTAGATTTTTCTACCTGGATTATTGAGCATGCATCAGGATATGAATGTGGACAGTTTCCTTTATTCCTACTTTCTACTTTATTGATATTATTAGACCTTTATTTGTACAGATTAGTTCCCACTGAGCCTTGAAGACTCATTTACAAAAGAGCCCTGTTACATATGTAGTGAACTAAGCCTCAGGTCAAAATCTGGCCCTGAGGGCCTTCCTGGAACAAGAACTGTTATTTCATTGATTTGAGTCCAGAAATACAAATTAAGCTCATCCAGAGACTTTCTAAGTGTGTCCTGCTCTGATCAATTGAAAGAACACTCTCTTTTTTATTATCATTACTATTTTACAATATCTTGATAATCAAAGTGTGTTTAGT